TTTAAATGATTTTAAGGGGTCAAGGAGCTTAGTTCATGATTTTTTACATTTTACACCATAATTGATGAAACTAACAGTGCACTGATATGTTTCAGTTGTAGTTTAGCATATGCGTTGCTTTATGTTTATCATGGTGCCAGCTATGTTTTCATCTCAATTGTAGCTCAGCAGAATAGAATCAATAATATGCATTTTACCTTTAATTGTGTAATATTTTCTGTGCAAACACTACCGTATCATTTATTAAGCAAGAGTATGTAATGTTATCTGACAGCGGCCACTGTGGCCACAAGATGATATATAACGTAGGGACAGTAACACAAGTAGGAGGGTCATCTAGTCACTGAGCTACTAACATTAGCAACCAAAAGCTAAATAAGGCTGTACAGCAAAAACATCAGTGTATTAAATTGAACAATTGAACAAAGGCATTTTACATCTTATGAATTTAACTTTTCATCACTTTAATCTACTGAGGAACATCACCTTTCTTTCTACTCGCAGTGAAAGCCATGGGAAGCTGACAGTGTTCTCATGAATCCATGCTGTCAACAATGTGTGGAGGGAAAATTGTGGACAAACTACGTTGTAAGTAAATTTGTAACACCTTTGCTAGCATGTCAGAAGATATTAATGTTAATGAGCTGCGTATTTAAATTAGTTTTAATAGTATGTGCCGGATTTTCTGAAATATGACATCATGGCTGCCTGCTCTGCAAGGATTTCCTGGGACAGTTACTATCTTCATGTTTTCTGAAGTTAACACACAGGGGCACTGTGGGAACATATATGCAGAATTCATTTAACTGTAGCTGTGTATATTTTTACTGTCTCCTGAGTATACGGATCATGATTAATACATTTACAGAAGTGACAAAAGCCTGTTTTGCACTCTGTTTTTGCTAAGTAAAAAGTCTGACATTTTCTGTCTCTCAGATATTTTCTCACAGATCTCTGACTCGAGCGGAGTCATGTTTGCAAAGTTGATCAGTTTCTCAGGAGGTGCTGAACTCCCCACAGCCGTGTTCGGGGCCCTTCTTTTGGCTACACGGAGCATTCAGTGCGGACGTGCTTCCCTCAGCAGGTATGAGGAGGATATTTGAACACACCATCCTCTTCCTCTTCCTCTTCTTCTTCTTCTTCTTCTTCTTTATCTTTTAAATATCTAATCATTTACACATATTCTTTAATGCATGTATTTGTGTGTTTCTATCTAGAAGAAGATTATGCTGAACACGTTTTTGGATGTGTTGATGGCAGATCCTCCCCCTCATGCCTCGTATGGCTCCCGCTCATGCACCGACTTGCTAATGTTGAAAATGGTAAGATCTGGAATCTCAGTCATTTATATTTACTGTGCAACCACATTGATATCACACATTTGAAGATAATAGTTCCTAAATAAATTCTCAGTACCTACTGTACACAAAGGGGAGACTGCATTTGGTTTCTACCTAGGATTGAGCCCCTCCTAAGGTCCCAGTTAAATCTGAGGGGTCATGATGTGATTAATGGGAGAGACGAAAAAATAAGGTTCTCTTACACACATTTTTTTCTTTTCTTTTTTTTACTTTTCTCTAATCATTATTTTTGAAAAAATGGATGCGGTATGTCTACCTCTTTGGGCCTTTGATCAGTTATTTAATTAAACAATGTGAGAGGTTTACAGGTGCAGTGTGTAAAGATCTACTGAGCAAATTGCAATATAATATACATTACTATCTTTTCAGTGGTGTATAAGAACATGGACAGTTATGTTTTTATTACCTTAGAATGAGCCATTTCTGTCTACAAACACCACGGGTCCTCTTACGCGGTTGCAACGCCATGTTTCTACATTAGCCCAATGGACAAACTGCTCTACAAAGTTTTTCTTCACTATTTGAATAGGTACGAAGAAGAAGAACAACAACACAAGAACAAGTAACATTAGTAGTACTATTTTTAGAAGTCAACTGGTTTATTAGAAGTTAAAAAAGATGGACGAATGGAGCCCACACATATTATTTAGCACAGAGGCAACAGAGCATGTCGGCCACCGTAGCTTCCCCTGCGTTCACGTGGTGTGGGAATATGAATCTTTTTGTCCTGCTTAAATCTTATATATAAGATAGATTATATTAATTTGCTAATATTGCAAAAAGGAAATAAGTGTACATGGGACATAGAGAAGAATACAGAACTTTGATTCATGCAAAGTAGGTATTGCATATACATATTTTGTAAACATGTAATTTGTAATACAATTATAACAGTGAATTTGCTGTCCATGTAGATGAAACTTTTCTGATAAAACATCTCATAGACATCTGAAACGTGACACGGGCTCTCAACTATATACTGTCAACTTGTCAAATAATTGTAGTGCTGTAAAAGTACAATATTTCCCTCTGGAATGTATTGGACTACAAGTAATAAGTAACATAAATAGATATGCTAATCAAACACTGTTCTTATGTAAATGTACTTTGTTACTTTACTCCACTGACTTCCGGTTATACCTCAGACAAAAAAGGCAAGGAACATCTGCCATTTGTTAGTGAGTTTTTTGTTAGTAACTATCTAAAGATGCTCTTACAGAAAATCTTTGTTGTTGTTTTTCACCGCTCAGTCTTCCATCCGGTGGAATGTTCATATTGCCGGAGCGAAAGCATGATGGGTTTCCGGTATCGGTGCCAACAGTGCCATGGCTACCAGCTCTGTCAAAGCTGTTTCTGGCGTGGCCATGCCAATGGTCCCCACAGTAACCAGCACCAGATGAAGGAGCACTCTTCTTGGGTAAGGCAAAGCCCTGATCACTCCCTCAATTTTGCATCATATTGTTCCCTTTTCTGAACAATCCAAAAGTCAATATCTGTGTGAGAGTAGAATAATTTTGAAGCATAGCGGACTATTTAGCCGTCTCCCTACATTTCCTGTTCTCTCAAAGCAATCCAATGGGGATTTTAATGGGGGGTTACTCATTTTGGCAAATTAAATTGTATTGATTAAATATTGCTGCGTTGTCGCATTCCCCCAAAGCTCAATCATTATGTTATAAATCAAAACAAGAGAAGTCATAGGCGCTGGATCCCAAATCCAATTCCCATCCCACTCGCTTTTTGCACAGATAAGATAACTGTTCATGAAGCCTCTGGACATTAATAACATGCCTGAGTGCATGAAACAAAACACTGTAATGAAAAAACATTTACGACATTTATCACAAAGGGTTAGGTGGATGAATCTCTTCAGAATGTTTACCCACTTTTGCGACAAATAGGTGGAAATTGTATGTCTATGAAAAACATCTTTGACATTTCTTCACCACAATTCACTTGGCTTCCAGTGTTCAAAACCACCTATAATGTTTGGTTTTGGCATCTGGCAGCATTTTCCATCCTTCACTATTCTGATTAGCTGGCAGTATTACAGCTTTTGTTAGATGTGTTAATTACAGTTGTGCGACACTAAACCTCTCTCTCAGTGATGCTGCAAAACTGTCACTATTCATAAGTGTTTTAAAAATCTCAGTTTATTAAATTTAAGGGCTTATTTCTGCCATTTAGCAGCACGCCGTCTGGAATATACACTCAGTTGTCAGTTTGTTACGTACACCTAGCTAAAACTAATACAGATACAATAGTCCTGCAATAAATCCTCCCTTCATGAGGGTTATAATGTGATAATATTTGTTGAAACTGTTGCTTAAATGATGACACATGACAAACTAATCCCCCATCCTAAAATAACTGCTATTCTATTTTACCTAAAATTAATTAACTAGTTTGTATTTCCAGGAAGTGTTAAATGACAAACTACCCTGCCAAGCATGAGATTCTGGAGAGTTTGGTCCCTTTTCTGCATGACAGAAATCAGTCAAATTTGAGTAAATTGACTTAAGATTAAAAATAAAAAAGCACAGTTACAATATCCTCTATCAATGCCAACTTGTAAATAGCATTCAAGTCAATATTGAATTTGCAATTATGACTGGGAAACTTAAATTTAATGTAAATGGTGTTGCTGTCTCTGCACAGTATTTTTATTTCTTACTTTCTAACAAACTCTGCAGTCATGCAGTTATCTTCAGTTGTCCATATGACATGAACACAGAATAATGGACTCAATGCATTGCAGTTTTGGGACCGTAGGGCTGCCATCAAAACTGCATGTGAAGTAGCATATATAAGCACTTTCTGAATGTGCATAAACTACTGCTGATCCACACTTTTAAGACAGTAAACAAACTGTTGACCTAGTTATGTAAATTACTTCTGAAGCGGCTTAAACTGTTCGAACACAATGACAGCAGTGGATACAACACACAAGGTGATAGATACTTTGTTTGTTCTGCCCTCCTCACAGAAGTCTCCGGCCAAAAAGCTGAGCCACGCAATCAGCAAATCTCTGGGCTGCGTCCCCATCGGAGAGCCACCACATCCTGTGTTCCCCGAGCAGGCTGAGAGACCACAGGAACTGACTCATACTGTGTAAGTGCCATTTCCAAAGCATTTGATATCACTGTTTGTGTTATTAATGAGATAAACTCAACTGATTTGTTGATTAACAGCAAGACCCAGTGTGCTCATGATAGTCTGTTCTTGTCATGTAACTGCCTCCATCTTTGCATTTCACCATCACTACATGACTGACACTGAGTGCCATCTCACTAAGATGTCAATCCCACGATTATTTGCTAATGTGGAAACGGCGATATACTATGCAGGTTCAGCCGCTGCTGCCGTTACCAGCACAGTCGTCCTCATCAGTCTGTTGGCAATGAAACTGGGACAATGGTATAAATCTCACACTCCAGGCTTTGAGGCTCCTGGAAGTCATTACTGGAAATGCATTATATTCCGCTGCTATCTTAAACCCTGCACACTAATTTACATTTCAGTTGAAAAATAGTATGATTTCCATAATCAATTCCGCTACAGACATACATCCGCAGAAGTCCACATCGCAAAGGTCACTTCATATTTTTTTCATCATTGTTGTGCTGAAACTCTGACGCTTCTGTCCTCCAACATAACAAAATCTAATAATGTTTCAGATTTAAAAAAAGTGATTTATGATTTGGCTTGTTCGTGGCATTAATAGGATCACAGGAAATCTCTCAACTTTCTCATTTGAGCTTTCAACATTTCTCATGGCACATTTCATAACAAAATCCTGCTTCATATTCCAGTCATGACCATAAACCTAAGCTGTCTGTATATCCTTTTGCTGCTGGCAATTGTCTGAGTAATTGATAGTGAGCACATGATGGGGGAGAAAGCAGCTCAGCGACTGCCAAGAAAAATCACACAATGTAAATACATCAACATTATTTCATATTTTACTGCCTGATAGACATAATCATCTCGGAATCAGTTCTCACATCCAGGCTCTGCCCACTGGCTGGAGGATTTTTCTGCATTGTGCCAAAATTTATGCATTTAAGATGAAGTTAACATTTGCATAAATTTACAATTAATCACAAAGTAGAGAATCAACTGTCGACCTGGATGTTTTCCTCCAACTAAGAGATGAGGTGATTGGATTAGCCCGCACTGTATGGGCTGTGTAGCATGAAATTACATCACACAAGTAGATTAATATTGATTAAAATAAAATTTGTGGCTAAACTACTTTGGATTATGTATCTCAGTGCCCCCAGCAAGCAGTAATCCATGTCGTTTTTTTTATTTTTACAATGTTGATTACTTCAGATGATGGAGGCCCCAAGAATATTGAGTTCTGCATATTTGGGGCTCTTGATTTTATAGCTTAAAGGTCTTTTATTGTAATTATTTTCTTCAGAATGTTTTTTCCATTAACTGAAGGGTCCTGTTAGAGTACTTTTACTGTAAAAAGATATATTAGTTATTTGCAGTGGTGGAAAGTGGCTAAGTACATCTACTGAAGTTCTATATGTACAATTTAGAGTATTTTCACTTCATGCTACATTATTCTTCTACTTCTCTTTTTCATTAAAAACATATGATCAGCTCATACAATAAATTGTGTTGTTAAAGATTAAACCAGTAGTTCCCAACCTTTTGTCTTATGACAGAAATCAGTGTCTAGTTCAGCCCCCTTATGACAATACATACTGTATGTCTTTGACTTGTTAGCTGTTCTACCAAAGAGACATTACTCCTTTAAACTTTTCAGATGGTTCAACTTCTTTTCAACTCCACAAATATGTCAAATTACCCAATAATACACAAAAAGCAAAGATTAGCAAAAAAGTCAAAAAAAATAATGCAGATTGTGTCAAATAATTTAGTTTATTCTCTTTCTGCTATCATACGAGTGTTTTAGAACCGTTTCAGAAATATCTCCATCCATACTAACACTCCTGAAAACGCATTTCAGATGACCATTCATGTACACTGGGCATGTGCAAATAGGAAGCAGATTCTGTCAAGTAGGTCCATCTGCGGGTGCACAGTACTACAGGACACGCCAACTACATGTTATGCCCTCAAAATGGTCGCAGTTTGGTTAAGTTTAGGCAACAAAGCTACTTGGTTAGGTTTAGGAAAAGATCATGGTTTGAGTTAAAATAAATTCGTTAATCCAGGAAGTTATGTGTCGTGTAGTCTGCGAGACTGGCAGACGGACTTTCTGCCAGAAAGCCCTAAGGGTAAACCTCTACCATGTGCAAAGGTTTCTAGTATTACATGGTTACTTCCTATAATAAAAGGTCTTGCTTTCTTACACATGCACTCTCACTCAAACAGAGACAAATTTAGTGAGGTGCGTGCAACATAGTTTTCAAAAGATTCACCTGCTTCCCCCCTGTCCAGACTAAAACGCAGTCCCAGAGTTTTCAAACTGAAACGGGGTCAGGTAGTATCCTTAAGGGGTTAGATGCCAGAGTATTGTGGCCACATGGCATAAATGTAACAAAAGTTATGTGTTTTAAAATGAAAATGTATTATTGTGCCTGAGGAGGGAGCCCATCCCCTACAGTAGTTTGGGAACTGCGGAACTAAAACTTTGTAAATAAAGTTTGGTAATGCCATAAAGTAGTTAACTTTATTTCAACAGTAAAATGCTGCTAACACATTGATGCATCTGTATTAACAATCTAATTATGAAATATATATATATATAAAATATATCTGTCAGTTAGTTTACTTATGATAACTGAAAGAAATTTAGCTTCTAATATTTCTTTTCTTAATTTTATATACAGACCTTTTGCTTGGAATGGAGTATTTTTAGATTGTTGTACTGGTACTTTTACTTGAGTAAAAGATCTTTCTGAATACTTCTGTTATTTGACACACATTAGCAATATATGCAGTATATCTCACTCTGTGTCTTTAAATGAAAGTTTTGGGGTAGAAATTCCAGGAACGTCTGGTATTTCAGGTTTGATGGCAATATCTGTGATGTGTTCACAGACTTTTAGAATAACGGTTGTGACTGTTGACCCCTGAGACTTGTTTGGATGTTTTTCTCCTATCTATTGTTATGTCTGATACAGGGAAGGTATTTACCAAGATCCCTGTCTTTGATGATGGAAAAAAAGTCTATTTTTGGTTCCCGAAGCATTTATGTTTTTATTTGTGCGTGGTGATGAAGTACTGCCTCTCATCAACCGTGCCATGAAAAGATCTTTTTAAACCTGACAACCATTCAAAATATATTCATCAGTGACTGCTATTCTGAGTTTTGGGTCAGATTTAATGCTTCCATATAACTGTATATCTGAACAGATTCTATTAGCAAATATATTCAAAGGAAATGCGGTCTATTTTGTTCACACACAGGTATGAGTTTTATTTTAGTTCAACATTTAAAGGGTGAAAAGATTGATACCCGTCTGTCTCTCTGTCTCTCATATGTTATGTTAAGAAGCTACACCCAGGAGACAGTTAGCTTAGCTTATAACTACTAAAGGGAAAAAGCTAGCCTGGCTCTGTTGAAAAGTAAGAAAATCCACCTCCCAGCACCTCTAAAGCTCACTAATTAACATGTTATATCTCGTTTGTTTAATCCAAACAAAACCAAAGCGTAAAAATCTTTGAAGGACAACCAGCTGAGACTCCAGGAAGTCACTTCACCCAGTCAAGAAACACATAACTCCCTGTCCGTTGCTAGCTAGCTAAAAGCTTACATCTGTACTGTTGGTGTATTGGCTGTATGGGTCAAATTCAAACTGTCAAACAGTCAAATTAACTTGAGAGAACCAAGTGACTTTCTGTTTTAACACAGAACCCACAGTCTTTATGCTAAGCTAATCTAACTGGCTGCTGGCTGTAGCTTCATATTTAAACAGGGCTGCCAACTTTTCAGTTTAGTTTCAATTTTAATGAGATTTGGTATTGCTGAGGTCTTTGCATTTTATGAGTAGGTCTTCTGTGACATTACCCATTAGGGGTCGGGATCATCACTGTTCAATCCTCAGGATTTATGTTTAAAACCTTCAGCAGTTTTAAAGCATGTATAGATGAAAAGCCAAGTCATTCATCATGGTCAACGATGAATATGTTTGATCAGCACGTTGCACATCACAGTCTAAATTGGGAGACCATACCTAACCAGGTATCTGGCAGTTACCCACAGAAAATGTTGGTGTATTTGCTGTATGGGTCAAATAAGCAAAAACTGTCCAGCGGTCAGATTAACTAAAGAGATCCAAGTGACTTTCTGTCTCAACACAGAACTCACAGTATTATGCTAAGCTAAGCTAACTGGCTCTTACACTCCGTCTGTCATCCCAGACATAGATTTCTTGCATTCCAGTGAGAGCATTTTTTATATTTTTTATTAAACTTTTATTTAACCAGATGAGGTCATTGAGATCAAGAGAGCATAGTTCCCGTTATGTTCCTTTAAATCAAGCCTACTAATTGTAAATCTTCTGCACCCGTTGTAGACATCAGCCATAAGGAAGAGCTGGCACTAATGGAATGATTCCTATTTGTTAACGGTCGATTGCCGAGAAATTATGGGTAATTGTCTGCCTCATATTCCTATGTAGACTCCCTGCTGGCTACAGGAATCTTCCCGCATACTGGATACCTCAGATAATTAGTCACAGGAAAACTGCCAAGCTTCAAATTTGATTCTACAGTGACTTCATTTTATTTATGACACATAACAGAGAGGGAAATGTGCTGTTGGTATTCTAAAAGTAGTGCAGCTAGTTGCCAATCCTGATGACTTTGAAGAGGTGTTATTTCATGTTGTGAACCAGGAGACAATCATCAGCGTGGTCTCTCAGGTGTGTGTGTGTGTGTGTGTGTGTGAGGCTGACGAAGCACCTGTGAGTGAGTTATAATGGCAGAATCAGGGTAGAGCTTCAGGTTTGATCAAAACTCCCAAATCAAATGGACATGAGTCTCCCAGTTGTCCAACCCCTTGCGTCAACTTCAGACAAAGTGTAGCTATTCTGATACTTTTTTTTTAAATATTTACAGGCGTCTGAAAGCAAAGACTAACAGCAAGCTGAGCTGTGAATTTTCCCCTCCACTCAAACTGTCAGCGAGATTCTTGGGGATTTGTGTTTTGGAGGAGAGTTATAGGTTTGGGATGCACCATCTGTCTCAGAAACTTTAAATCTATGATACGGCTTCTTACCTTCAGACTTAGCACCGCTTCTGCCAAAAGATTTTAAGTACCAAAATAGTCTAAGAGTCGAAAATAGGCATCTTACCGTACTTAGCATTAATATGGAACACACACTATAGCGTCAAATCCTCAGTGCCATATTTAATATTTAGCAACCAATTTTCCACTCTCTATATAATCCCTTGAAATCCCAAAACATCTTTAAAATGCCTTCCTCTGTTTTACATTTTTTTTATTCACCGGGTCAATGCAAATTCCATCAATGTCATTACAGAACAAGCATGTAATTCACTTTTTTGTGAGAGTGATCCATTGGGTTTCTGTGGCCGAGGTAGTGACAGCCTCCTGGGGAAAATAGGAACACCTTTGCCAGCAGTAGAGGATGCATCACGTTTAGCGTATTATTTTCAGCCGGCTGAGGGCGATTGAAGGCAGCCATGCATCCGTTGTTGTCAGGAATGAGGTGAATGTGTGTGTGAAGCTCCAGCAGACTTAATTTTCCCTGTACCCCTGCCAAGTGCCAAGTACAAGGAAAGGGTGGTACATTGTCATTCACTGCACGCAGGTGCCGCGAGGCTTAGCGCATTGCAGACTTTGATCTCTTTGTGCCTAAATGTTATGTCAGTTCACTCCCATTTGACCTCTGAGGCACCGGCTGATTGACTGGACTGTGCGTCTTTAATCAACATTTCTTCAGTCAGTGAACCGCAGGGATGCAGGTGAGAATGAGTTAGGACGCCTATTAGCATTAGAATGAAATACTTCTAATGTCAAGCTTTTACGTAAGAAGAAGCTCTTTTTTATTGCCCCCCACTGTTACACAGAAGTTGTATTAGTTTGCTCAAAAAAGACTGGTGATTATTTATAGAAGTATAGCTGTGAAGAGCTTTGACTTACGTAACTCACTGAAGGTAAGGGGAAGAGTTATTATGTAGTTATTAAGATATGTAAATTAAATTACAGTATAGACTGCAGAGGCCAGTTTGTTACACATTTCTCTCCTGAATGGATGGAGAGGTTACAATTGAGGTATTTTGAGCAAAAGGCATTTCTCTAATTATCTCAGTGTATTCATGTTTTAGAGAGAGGTGAAAAGACAGAGCCAGAGCAGAGAGCTTCAGAGAGGAGAGAGAGTGTGTGTGTATGAGGCAGAGAGAGAGAGAGAGAGAAATCTACGTCGTCATAAAGTCACGTGACCGCCGAGTTTCCTTGGAGACAGCAGCAGTGTAGTACATTGAGATGCTCGCCTGCTCAGTTGAGGGCAGATTAGGCATCTGGCAACAGCAGCAGTTGGATGTATTTTGCCAGCCAGACAGGTGCTTTCTCTCCACATAGAGGTAAGTGTTATGCCTCGTGTCTCCTCTTCCGTCTGGAGCTCTCACCTTCAGGGTGGAATATTGTCATATAATTAGCATTAAATGAGAGGTAAACATCTTTCACATGGGCTGGGATTTTACTGCACTCAGCATTTACTATAGGCAGTATGTGCAGGTTGGAGTAGTGACAGTTGCTTTTTCCATTTCTTGTTATTATCTGTATATCTGTTTATCTGAACTAAAAATTAGGACCGATGAATTACACATGCAGGACCGTCCTTGGTTGTCTTTTGAATATGTTAGGCTAGTCCTAACGGAAATTCATATGTATGAACTAGTACATAATTACAGTGTGTCTTTAAAAAGAACATGCTGAATCCCCATGAGCAATGGGAATATGTACTTTGGTGTGTACTATGCCGTCCAATAATTATGCAGTTTCTTTTGAGCTTACTTCTGTTTTGTTTTTAGTAGCACAATAATGTACAGAAAAGAACACTGTATGAAATGTTTGGCACTTTGTGGCACTGTAGCAGAAAAAGTACTTACAGTGCCTCATGCTGATAACAGTATTCTGCACAATGTGGATATGAATAGTTTGATTTTGGCCCAAAAAAGCTGATGGGTCAAATAAGCACAATAGGACTGTTCAGTGCTTTGCCTTTTATGTGATAATGAGCGCTTTAAATAAAACAATCGAATCAACTAACTACAGAGAGATGCTATGTGCAGATTGAGGAGATGCAACTACATAGACATGGAAATCGAGTGCTGTTGTGAGTGGCTTGCTGTCGGGTGAAGTTTGAAGCTAAGAGCACCTGGAATGTGCAGAGTGATATTTTGATCCGTTAATGAGACTCTGTGGCCCGGGGTTTTTCGGCTCCGCCGAGCTTCGGCCACTGTTTCAGCCGCCAGATGGACCCCATTGCTTTGTTTACTCTAACAAATTACCTCCCACAATGTCACCTTTCCTAGTTTTTCACAGACTTCCAGTTTAATTAGATTTCTTGTCTGCTGTTGTTGCTTTGGCTCATGTTAATTAGGTTTAAGCTAATTACCCTATAAACATTTAAATCGCCTTTCCCTTAAAAAGTAAATTATTTTGTTACAATTTCAAGTTAACTCGAGGACAACATGTTGGCTATTTTGTGCATCAGTCATTAGCTTATAATGATTCCTCCTGCCCCCGCTCTTACCCTCTTTTGTACAGTTGAATTTAATTGAAGTCAGGATCGCTGATTCATGATTACTATAAAATGCGAATGCCCTCTACTCCATTCCCTGGTGACAGGCACCAGAGGCCTCTGCAGTGTAGCATTAAAGACCTCTAATCTTGTCTTTTAGTCAGCCGAAACCAGTGGCCAACAACATGAACGACACAATGCTCATGTCCTCTGGGACACCTACTCCTACCAAAAGGTAAGCACCCCCAGGAAAATGCACAATGTCTTTTTGACAATATTATTCTGATGATTCCACAGAATTAGCTTCACTTTTGTTATTTTTACCTCTAATGTATTCTTTAAAAAGACAAAATGTCACTTTTAATTACACAGAATTCGCTCTGTGCTCAGAATAGGTTACAGATTCTCTATCATCAGTGGAAATAACAAGAATAGCACGGCAAATCAGACTACAGATGTTATTTGTTCCCTCACTCTTGACACACATTTTTGCATCCGAGCAGCATGCCCTTGTGAGTGTATTTTTAGAGAAAAATTTGTTACGCTGTCATGAAGAATATGTGAGCACTCCTACTTAAAGGGTTGATTTGACAAATACATTATGATAGAACTGGAGCCTTATCATGTAAGCAGATAGGAGGCGAAGGCTCCGTGACAGCAGCCTAATTGTCCTCTCATTTCAGCCCTCTGAAGCCCCCTTCAACGGCCATCTCTATTATTATTTACTCACAGTGGTAATGAACCATTGTGGTTATGGATTCAATAATAGAAAGCACTCTGATGTGGCTCTAATGTATATGCACTCTGTCCTACAAGGCTGTGCTGGGTGAATTTGTCTTTTGTGCACAGTATCTGTCAATCATATCTTTCCGGGAATTTGTGTTTGTAAGGTGGGACTGCTCAGGGACTCGGGACTTCCCACGGCACATTAGAAGGGAAGACACGTCACTGTCTGGTGTACAGCAAGAATAGAGATGTGTGTGTGTCTGTTTAGGATCCGGTGTTTGATTGAAGTCCAGACAAAGACTTTGATGGAGCATTCAGGAGGAGCTTGAATGAAGTCTGTTGATGTTTTCTTTCTCACTTGTGCTCTCCTGTGCTGGGTTATCATACAGCACTACACCAAGGACCCAGGCGAGTGAATGGCAGTGTGCACACTGCAAAAAATGTCCATCACAGCAAGACTGAACCTTAAAATGTGTTTTTAAATCATAAACATCTGCCAAAGAAGTGAGGTCATGCCGACATTCCCTTACCTCTCTCTAAAATGTATGTTGCGTTGCAGAGTAATTATCTAACCTTGCTGGAAGATTTCAGTGTTTAGGAAAATGAGATGCTAACAATCAATACTAGATTAGGTTTCTTGCAGAGACTGAACATTTTGTGCAGTCTTGTCTCTGAGGGGTGACAGTATTAAGATCAGAGTAGGTTTGAGGGAAGCTGACAAGATAGGGACACCAGAGGCTGTAAATGATGCCCTGCATCCAGACCCGCAGAGGTCAGTGAGAGACATCATGTGTTGGAGCATGTAGCAAGCCGATGCTCTCCTGAGGTTTGTTTCACTGTGGCAGTAATGAAGAAGCCCGATAACCTTTGTCTTGACATTTTGCTCTGTGAGTCAGAGCTGCTTTGGGAAGTTGTCATGCAATGAGGATGCTGTTGCCTTGGGGGGGATAACAACTACAAAGCTGCCATATTTAAGGCAGAAATTGCGCACTAAGCCACCATGACGCTTCCAAAATAGGTTGTGTTGAGAGTCAGTGTGGATACCGGTAGATAAGGTGTTGAATAAGGAAGGAAGGAGCAGGCTTCACTTAGGTTTGGTTGCAGAGAACAGGAGGCCAGTTCTTCCCAGCCTCTCACAGTCGCATTTGGTTGGTAAATATTAATCTATTGTTATAATTACCAGGCACTGGCCTGCCTGCTTTCACATGAAGGCCCTATGAGTCAAAGATGCTACTGCTGAATAATGCAAAGCTCCTTGTGGCTCTGCCTCATTTCAAGAGCCCCAACTGAAAAGCAGCACCAGTGCTGTCCTTGTTTGTCGACCCTTTCAGATTCCACCTTTTACCACAGAAATATACTAAACACGTTCACGATTGTGTATCAGGGCAGCGTTGAATGCACTCTGTTTGAAACATTGTGCGTGTTGGGCTTCCAGCCTCCATCACAGTCCGTTCACTGATACTGTCTGCTATGTTGACATGGCATCTGCTCCCTCCCACCTCACTATCTCACAGACAAAATCATTCACCACTAGCTGGTCCTCCAAGGGCGAACCACAATTTATTATCTGTAAGTCATGCAGAACAACAGCTGCAGAAGATAAAATTTAAAAAAGAAGAAGAAGAAAATGCTTGATGAGTTTTAATTCAGAGTTAATGGCCAAATGTGAGTCAGTGTGGAAACACAGCTGGTGGGGGAGCAGTTTGAGTTTTTATCGGAAGATGTCATTAGGTCATTATATAAGACACCTAATGTGACATAACCTAAACATAAAAGTTTAGAATAAAACATTTTATCATTACCTGGTGTATCTTTTGGTGGGTAAGCTAACACAGTTTTGTTGATATAACTCTGAAATTATTGCATTGCATTGAACATTTATCATTTTTCATACCGTTAATAACATTTTACTTTAAGTCGCCCTATTTAGCATTCATAAGCAGTATACAAACATTTTCTAAATGCTTTTTAACACATTGTAATGTAGTTGGATGCACCTATGATATTTTATATTATTACTACTGAGTTTTATTATTTTGTCATTATTGTCTGTTCATACATCAGCGTCCACTTTTGGGTGCCCACATATCGGCTTCCAACAACATTATAGTGTGTTATAGACAATTTCTTAAATGTATTTATACATCTTATAAAATACTAAATGGGGGGCTTAAATAAAATGTTAATTTTCAAGTAGAAGCATATGTAAAATCAACAATCACACAAAACAGTTACAAGAGTCATAAATAATAACAGGTCAAAAAGCTTTAAAATGTCAGAGTGGAATGAAAGAATCTAGTTTTGCCATTCATTGCATTTAAATGGTAGGAGGAAAAGTGTAGTGCTTAAATCCAGTCCCGTACATATGTTAGGGTGGCACTAACCTGACTCTTTCTCTCCTGATATCTCAACTCAGAGTATCTGTTATCTGTCAGTATCCCATACCAGTGTTCTCTTTTTCCCAAATTTCAAATTTCTGGGTGGAGCCCATTAGGATAATTTTTATGCGAAGTAACATGAGACCAGGGATTGCTGTAGCACTGAAACATGAGTCAGTACCCCGCTATAACTGGATGAATATGACTAACAGCAGAAACACTAAATTGAGAGACTGTATTTAATGTGAATATGTGACATCATGCCCAATATCCAATACTGTCAATAAGGTCATTATCACAGCTGATACCAATCAGAAAAATCAGATCTGCACATTCCTTACCAATGGAATATCTAAACATAAGTAGCTTTATAGAACATATTTTGAAATGATTGTAAATAAAAAAGGCCATCCAACTTTGCGATACAAAAGTAAATAAATAAAAATATGTTATCAAATTCAGAAAAAAAAGATTGTTATTAATATCAGCATCATCCCTCCAGATGTTCAAGAAATCTCTGGCCTCCTAAAGTTTTGACCTTTAGTTATTGTACCATCGGGCAAATCAGAACACAGTTTTTAAAAAGCATAAGCTGCATGTTTCTAACAAAATAGGACCATTGGTGTCTGAGATATTGCGTTTGAGTAAAATAAATGCCGCTATCTTCCAATGGGTGGCAAAAATAAAAGATACCTGGGAAAGATGCCAGTTCAGGAGGACTTGAAGGCGGTTCATGCATCTCTGTCCAAAACCTGGCACAGACCATCAGGTGGTGCCAGGAAACTCCCTGTTGAAGCAGAGACATGAGTAGCTTTCATGCTGATAGCCTGAAGAGCCAGACATGCAGCCCAGATCCAAAAGACCTCGCAGGGTCACAGCATTTCCTCAGCCAACCTGAGCGGCTCCCTGGTGTGCGTTAATGTATTACTTATTCATCTTAGGAAGAAACCTCAGGCTCTGTCTATGCTTTAGCCAGTGGAGGAAACTGGAAATTATTCAGAAAGTGTCCCATTTAACAGCAGACATTTCTTGACATTTTCCTCAAAACAAGTGCTTTGACATTTTGGTGGAGTGATGTCATTTTTTTCCCCAGGGCAGATCAACTGCATGTTGTTTTTAGTCGGATGACACTATCTTGAAACAAGTCGAAAGATCCGCTGAGCATTTTAAGATATCATCACTGGGCTGAGAAAACCCTTGAAACAAGCGGAGTAGGAGCTGGAGCAGCTAAAATGATCCAATCACGGTGACAGCTTTTTGAAATCTGTTTTGAGAAAGATAAGATTTTAATAGAAATGTTGATTAAAAGGCTGGTTTGCAGTGTGTTTTGGGGCCTGGGCAGTCAAAGCTGGAGGGACTGTGGTTGTTGATGCAGCAGTGTTTGAAGCCAGATTGGGTTTAATGGTCTTAATCATTGCTCACTCCAGCCAGTCAGATAGTTCCCAGCACCATTTCCGCTCTCCTTCACTCTTCATTGCAGACTGCCTGCCGAGAAAGGACAGCATATGTCCTGTCATCTGTCCACGCCATATGCCACGCCCATTATCATTTAAAGACTTATGCCTTATTTGACATTTCCAGTCAGTGATGAAATGGGCAGAACGGACATTGGCACTGTCACAAATGCATTTGGCATGCTGTATTCTCTCTTATTCATCTCAGTTATATATCTCTGTTATGACCAATTATCTAAGACTGTCTATCAACTCTGGAGTCAAACTGTCATATGTGAAGGTCACATCAATTATAAAGTTTTTATTTTCATGCAAATTGTTTTACATAATCACTTTGTACTAACTTTCCCTTCTACTTACATAAGAGCTTTTCACATTAGTGTCATTGTTGCTGTATATATGTGTGTGTGTGTGTGTGTGTGTGTGTGTGTGTGTGTGTGTGTGTGTGATGTATTTCTCTGTCTCTGACTTTGGGCAGTGTCTTGGAGAGTCCCAGCCGGCTAGATGAAGAGCACCGCCTCATCGCTCGCTATGCTGCCCGCCTGGCAGCCGAGGCGGGCAATTCCACAGTGAGTGTCTGCAGGAAGCCCCATGGTTGGCTCCCGTCAACCTGCATTTCACATTTAATGCTTTGACAAGTTATTATTTAGGCGTCTCATTGTGGCCCAGAGAACTTAAATGTTGAAGCTGCAGTGTAAAGACTACTCAAGTGTAGTTAAAGAGAGCCTCAGTGAGGTTGATATCAATGAGATAAAATTGCATGCATGCATTTTTCCTGTGAATCCCTCACACATGGGTAGGTAGTCTGAATCCCGCTACTGCCAGTAAATTTAAAGCCCTTGAAAACTTAAGCTTCAAATCTAAGTATTTCTCCATAATAATAAATATTCATGACTTAAAAACAAACACCTTTTATTTTCTTAGATTACCAAACAACCCACCAACTGTTCTAGAGTTGCATAGTGGGAGGAGCTATTTTAGGGTGCCCCTGGTTCTATTCATTTTTGAGTTATGTGATTCACAGTTGGATGTCTTCTACGGCTTAGATTGGCATGACTCTCCCAGGTCCAAATATTAACAACTGTGTTAGAATATACATAAAAAAGTACAACCGTGTGTACATATTCAGGGAAAAGGTGAATACACCGCTAAAGGTGCATTTCGGCAAAACAAAGCTTAAACCTTTGTCACTTGCTGCTGGTGAAAGCGAAGGATGATGTTGTTGAGAAAACTGATTTCATAATCTGCATCTTAAATAAATACACTTTTAATCTTGGGATCAACTTTGGTTGAATTAAACAACTATGGTGTTGCATTTTCATAACAATCGCGACAAAGAAGTGTTTTGAATTTACTACCGCTCTGATTTGCGGCTTTCACTGGATTCTACTCCATGGCAAAGGCAACTGAGGCTCATGGGTACTGTAGTATTTAGAGCCATTCGCCATTCCAAATGATGGACACAACATGATTTCTTTGAAAATTTGATGGGAATTCAGAATGGAACTCTACTAGATTCTGATTCAAATGTTGCTAATTCCTAATTGGTGCATGGAAGTATGTGAGATCACCTTTTTCTAACAGAGCCCCGCCCATTTCAAACCAATGAGAAAGGCACAGATGAAAAGAGAATTAAAAATGTTTCATGTGAAACAATCCAAACTATTATACAATTTCTAAGGCAGGAACTGTGCATGTTGCGTTACTTTGTGTTAATTTGGATGTGCACTTTGCAGCCAGACTTGTATACGAAGGGATAAAGAAAAGCTGTGGTCTGTTTATGAAGAAACATAATAAGTCTCCAGCAGAGAATCAATACTGCCCATGGTGGTCAGAAGGTACCTGCTGCTGTTTGACTTTTGTTCTCCCACTGTTGTTAATACCATTCTATAATAATTTTGTTTTTCAGCAACAATGTCCTCCATCAGATCTGAGTTTCAACTTTGATGCCAACAAGCAACAGAGGCAGCTGATTGCAGAGCTGGAGAACAAAAACAGGTACAATTTATCTTTTTTTTTTTTTACTAATTGTTGGCTGGCTGGTTGGAATCATTAGTTCAATTAACTCAAGTTTCTATGCACTTGTATTTTACTTGTGTATTAACTTTATTTATATGCCACTTTATTTCAAAACATCTGATAAGCTTATAAAACATGATGAACTGCTACAAATGAAAGCAAACCAGAATCGTTAGACAGTTTTTGGAAACATGCTATTTTGCCTAAGAGTTTGATGAGAAGATTGATATCACTCTCATATATGTAAATATATGGCTAACGCAAGCAGTTGATTAGGTAATTGTTCGGTGAAACTGCTACTCTGGCTCTGTCCAGAAGTAACAAAATCTGTCCATCTAACACATAATAATTAAAATGTAATATCTTGTTTGTTTATTCCAAACTAAAATTGAAGCGTTATAACTACAAGTTGTTGGTTGATGGAGGTTTATCTTCCTGTAAATTCCTAGTCTCTAAACTCTAAATAAAGAAATTAAGAGGCATGTTTTCCTAAATGTCGAACTGTTCCTTAAAAATTAGCTCTGCCTCAACCAGCTACATGCTTACATGTTAAAATAATAATCCAAAATAAATATATATGGAAGTAAACAATATCATTACATCTTAAGTTTTACAACTTAAGTGAACAATCTTAACATTTCTATCACCAATGCTGTTAAGTTAACTGATTGACTAACTAATTCAGGGAGATCCTCCAGGAGATCCAGCGGCTGCGTTTGGAGCACGAGCAGGCCTCTCAGCCGACCCCAGAAAAAGCCCAGCAGAACCCCACACTTCTCACTGAACTGCGGCTCCTCAGGTATCATCCCTGCTACCACCACACCATATAAAAGAGCATCTTCTTCCTAACAGGAGAAAGAAAGAACCATATATTACAGAAATGAAGTAGTAAAACCATTTCAGGGGTGTTGTATTTATGTAGGCTGGACTCATTCTTCAAGTAGAAATAATGTCTTGCTAATTCAGGAGGGTGTTTTTGAATAAGCTTCACCAGCAGAAGTGTGGGCATTTGTCATGCTGGCAGGACGCTGAGACCCTTGGGTTCAGTTCTTGGAAAAGACTCACCCTAAGAGGACACATCACAGCATTTGTTGCCCTGAATGACTCATTGTTGGTCTGGTCTGGCCTATATAATGCATCAGCAGTAAGGTTTATGGTCAACAGCAATGACAAAGATTGGACTTTTATAATCTTTTAATGTTTTAGAACATAAATTAGTGGCTACCCTTCGATGCTGGTTAAGTATATACAGTTATAGCAGAACTAGAGATGAATTTAAATTATATTGTCTCAGCTTCACCACCCACACAGTCACTCTTTGTCATGTTAGGGAATTGTTGTATGTACAGGAATTATTATATAGTACGGTATGTATTTTTTTTAAAAGAGTAGTTAAACTGTAAAATAATTGGTTTATATCACTGATGGATATATTTATTCCATCTGTTTTTTTTAGCACTTATTTAGCACTGCAAATATGTCTTACGGCATTTTCAGCTCACTGTGGCTGTTTGTGTTTGTGTCGGGTTTTAGACTAGAGTATTATCAAGTAGTAATAATTTATCGCAGACTGTACTCGCACTGTTTGGAGACTGGCTGAACAGCTCTGATATTGCCTTTATTCCGCCCAGGGATACAGAACAGAGCAGAGGTGTTTACACTCTGCAGATTTCTCAGTCTAAATAGACAGATGATTGCGACTGTTCTTTGAGGCTTTTTCAGAATGCAGTTTCACATAGTGAACACCAGAGGGTAATAATAAGCAAGAGTCCTCACCTGAAGCAGATGGCCAGATATTTAACAGATTATTTAACAAACTCAAATAACCTGGGGGCCACAATGTGCTCGGGGATTGATCCTAGAGAATAGCAGCTTGAGTATTATATTTTACTTTTTTTAAACATTTTTATTCATTTAGCTGGCGCTTTTATCCAAAGCAACTTACAATTGCTATATATGTCAGAGGTCACACGCCTCTGGAACAACTAGGGGTTAAGTGTCTTGCTCAGGGACACAGTGGTGGATGGGTCACAGTGGGGGATTGAACCGGGGTCTCTCACACCAAAGGCATAGTCTTATCCATTTCTCCATCACACCCCAGTATTGGTATTAGAGTATTAGTTGCAATAAATTAATAAAAAATCAATTGTACGCCTTTCTTGGAACTGGCAGTGCCCCAGATCAACATTTCTTGTTCATAAAGAGGCATTATGGTGTTGTTTCAGTATGATGTTGCAGCCTGTGACTGTTAAATATGGAAAGGAAGACAATTCCTATGCTGCAATACTGAAGAACAAAACTAAATAAATAAAATGAAAGACTGGAGAAAACTCACTGTGGAAAAAGACTAACAAAATAATCATTTTTGGGTCAGATTCAACAGTAAATAAAACATGTAGGGGCCTTTATAAAATTGGCTTGAGGGCCAGATCCCAACATTTGCAAACTTGTATCCCCAAAAATGGACTCCCCCCCAAAAAAATCAAGGCTCGTAAAGTACACAAGCTATTTGTGAACACTATCATGCATTTTTTTGTTATGTTTTATTATGGTCAAATCGGAGGTAGCTCATCCTGCCTTGTTTTGCAATGTATCCCCAAACTCTTCCTTCTGCTGCAGACACAGGAAAGACGAGCTGGAAAGGCGCATGTCAGCCCTGCAGGAGAGCAGACGGGAGCTGATGGTGCAGCTGGAGGGACTCATGAGGCTGCTAAAGGTAAGAAAATTACCTGTTTCTAGAAGATGTATGTGTGATAGAAAGCCTTCTTAATCATTACTAATATCCTTCAATGGTGCATAAAACACGTACCCATTGTCCTAAATCTGCATTTAAAATGTATTTAGCATTTTACAGGTTATGTTAGTGCTAATCTAGTTTACATGATTAAGCTTGGTGGCATGTTTGATGAAATAAGATGTTAAAACCATAGACATTACAGTGATTTTAAGTTTTGTTAAAGTGCCATCTGGTGCATGCAGAAAATCCCTTTCTTCTTCTTTTTCTTCTTCTGCTGCTTTAATTCTGTTGCTCTCACTCTTCTTGCTCTCTCACTGCTTACCTTTGCTGGCTGATAGGATGAGGAGCAGAAGCAGGCTGTAAGTTGCCCTTAATTCAGTTTGCAAGGCTCAATACCTGGCTCTAGTCTCAGCACTTAGTTAAATGCTTCTATACTCCCCGTTTCACACAGATGTGATTGAAGGAAGTTTTTATAATAGATTTTAAGAAGGATGTTAGGAAACATAATAGAATTCCACTATCTAATTGGTTTACACTAATCTAGTCTTACTCCACTCCTTGCTAGCACTATTGGGGAGCTAAAGCTACAGACTGCAACACAACCTTTCAAATCTGTTTTCTCAGGTCCTTGGTCCAAACAAGTTCAGAGAACTGTGTTTTTCTTAGCCCGAATGTCAGAGACCTGTTCCTTTCATCGGCGCTAACAACCTCCCTTCTAATGTGACTGCAGTCTGGCCGGCCATCTGCTGCCTGGCTCCGAGCCATCGAACTGGGCTTGCACCAGTCCCAGAGACACACAGAGATCCTTTCTCTGTGAGATATATCTCTCATCTCAGCACAGGCCCAAGCCACTCTCCACACACACGGTTCTCATTACCCCCTCAATGAAGTAACGGTGCAGTATAGAGACACAGACTATAGCCAGCCGGAATAGGATTTCCATAGGGTTTTCTTGCCTTTACAGTGTTGTTTTTGTTTGTTCTCCCTGTAAGGATTAAGTTCTTTTGATCACATCTGTGTCTGTGTTTGTTTTAATAAAAGTCATTTTTAGAAGCAAAAAGGTCATCTCTCCCCAAAGCTGCAATCTGTGACTGCAATACGGCATCTTCCATTGAACTGCAGTTGATCCAGAATTGGCTTTGTTGTTGTAGAGATTAATTGGATTTAAGTATTTTTTTCTCTCTATCAGAAGACTTGCACATGGAACACTATTCAGTATGTCATTAAAATAACCAAATATGTAATGTTATTTGCTAACTATGCACCAGCAAAAAACTTTGCTTAGTAATATTGATCAGCTAGTCTTTTTATACCTGTCATGCTTAAACACATTAAAATAATGTATATATCTCATTCTGTTGGTGATGTAGTGTTTATTTGCTGATGCAATCGTGATTGTGCCCAACTCATACATGTTTCTAATTGTCATGTTATGTCTCTGTTTAATCCATGAAGTGTAAAAACAAGTTCGTAATGTTTTCATCTAATGAAAGCAGAGAAAAGACATCAAATAAGCATATATCCCAAAATGTCATGTGAAACATCTGTTAAAGAGTATCCAAGGTGAAAAAAACCTGTTTTGTGAGCTAACAGATTAAACAGGTCAATATCAAAAAAAGAAGGAAAATAACTTTATTTTCTATCTTTAAACATACAGCAAATGCATTTACGTTTTTGCTGATGATACTGTAACTATCACGGCTGTTTTTATGTTTCAGTCCCAGTCCGGAGGCTCCCCTCACTCTTCCCCTAGTCACGGTGCGGGCTGCTCCATGCCCATGCCCATACGCTCCACCTCAGCTGGGTCCACCCCAACTCACACACCACAGGACTGCCTGGCCGGGGTGGGAGGGGACGTGCTTGAGGCCTTTGCTCAGGGTGAGTGTGCACGAACACTTGACACAAAGAGCATTCCGTACAAAACTAATGCACGATCTATAACATTTTTGAATAGCGATCATTAAACCTTTAAAATCCAAACCTTCAAATAATACCTCCCACAAATATTCAGTCATTCTACCTCCAGGATATGCACTTCAACTGCTATTGCCTATTACATGATTGGCATTACATGATTTATATGATTACGCTGCAAGAGTAGGAAACTGCATGTGTTTTTAATTTATTTTAAAATGTTTCTGTGTTCTAGGTGTACCTAGAAATCTTCGGAATGATTTATTGGTTGCTGCTGACTCAATCACAAACACAATGTCATCACTGGTGAAAGAGCTCCACTCAGGTTAGTCTATACCACGTTTCATGGTGTGTCAGGGTTGGTGTGTGGATGTTAGGTTGAGGACCCAATGCAAGACATGGAGCTGAGAAGATCCAGTTCAGAAGGTTTATTAACTTAAACAAAAGGCATACACACTAAGTAGTGGCAGAGTTCCAATAATAAAGGTTCAAACAAAAAAACGTAATCCAACTGAGAATCCCAAAATGTAAAGTCTAAACAGAAAAACACACAACTTAATCCATAGACAAAAATCCAGATATCCACAGGAACAAGCAGGGAACAAGCATGAGAGGACACAAGACAGAGCAAGACAAGCAACAATAGACCACCAAGAGCAGAACAGGAGTGACAAACATTTAAACACTGGCTAACAGGGGAGGGAGCAGGGAGGGAATACACAGGTGAGAAACAATAGGTGTAATCAAGACAAGACAGGAAACAAGCTGGATTCAAACAGATACAGACAACCTCAAAACAAAACAGAAACACAAGACACGGAACAAAACCCCTAACACAAGACAGGAAAACCCAACACCGTGAAACATATTGAAACAAAAATCTGAATACAAAACAGACAAGGCAAAATAACAAACAGACAGACTGAGACCAGGATTGTGACAAGTTTGAGTCAGTTTTATCATCTGGATCATAGGTTTGAATCTTGGTTAAACACATAAAATAATGTATATATCTCATTCTGTTGGTGATGTAGTGTTTATTTGCTGATGCAATTGTGATTGTGCCCAACTCATACATGTTTTAAGACCAATTTTCTAAAAAAGTGTAGCTTAGCATAAACACTGGAAACGAGGGGAAACATCTAGCTTAGCTCTGTCCAAAGGTAACAAATTCTGCATGCCAGCACCTCTAAGGCTCTCTGATTTTCATGCTATGTCTCTGTTTAATCCATGCAGTGTAATGGAAAGGAAACAAGAATCTGAATACAAAACAGACAAGGCAAAATAACAAACAGACAGACTGAGACCAGGATTGTGACAAGTTTGAGTCAGTTTTATCATCTGGATCATAGGATTGAACGTGTCATTACTGAGTTCTGTACAACAGATGTCTTTCTATAAATGTTTGTTATTCTCACAACTGCTTCTGTTACTGAAATCCCTGCTTTTACTTTTAAAGTAGATGATGGGGGGCTGGAAGAGGAGACCAACATGAGGAACGGTGGGGACAGAGGTAAGTCTTAGTACATGCTAATAGTTTCCTAATTTAATCTTTTGGCGCTACACTACAGAGATTATGCCACTCAAAACAGAATGCAGAATTATTTCTGTATATCATAAAGATTAGCCAAAACATAAATATGCAATATTTCCTTTCTTTTTTCCAGCTCAAGCAGAATGAACAACAAAAAGTAGGAATTATAATTAACTGATATATTATGCACACATAGCGTAATACGAAAGCCTCAAGCGGCCGTGGTTGTAATAATTATGTTTAATTTATTTTGAGATCACAAGTTACTTCTCCTGTTATTTTAAGATACGATATATTTTTAAGATATAGTTTGTTTATCTCGGGATAATGGGTTATAGTCTCATTATCTCAAGAAAACAAGCTGTTGTTTCGAAAAACATCAGGTTGTTTTATGTAGATAACGAGATAAATATCTTGTGTTCAAAATAAAAGGTCATTTTGTGAAGTTAAGACATTAATTATCCCATTACCTCCAAAAAAACCTGAATGCTTTGTTGACAAAATTAGATAATTTACTCATTGTTACAAGAAAAACACCTGGGAAAACTGAGATAATGACAATAATGAACTCACTCGTTAAATTTCTGCTGCCACAGCCATATATAATTTATTCCATATATAATAATAATATTAGGCCAAACAGTAGTTGGTGCTAATTATGACAGCATTGTTTCTTCATTTGTTGGATTGGAAGAGTAGGTCGCTGCTGAACACCTTTATCAGCCAATATAATACTTCTGCTTCAAACCTCCAAAGTAGCAAGTCAGCATGGCACATTGCCACAGAGTCATTTATACGTTGTTGTTGCTTTTACAAATTAATTCAGACTGTGCAGGCTGTCAGCAGCACTAAATTTGCTCTTCTATGTGCGTTTCCAGGCACAGTGAGACTACAGAAGCACTGAGGAAAAGAGAACACAACTCCACCCTGTAAGGATATACAGTCATCAAATGGGAAGAATCAGTAACAACAACAACAACAACAACAACAACCCCTGGCATTAGCACGTAGAGTAATGCATGCTGTAATCTAACAGGATTTCACTATGTGAAAAAAACATTTCTTCACACCTTGCAGGTAGCAAGATGTGTCTAATTAGCGAGTGTGTATGTATTTACGTCCTGTAAACAAAAACTGCTGTAATCAATAATGATTTCCCTCATGACTGCTAAGGAATGGCTTGCTGTGCTTTTTCCTCCAACTGTTCCATTGCAGCAGATCATTCTGTATATAAAATACTATAAACACATGACCATGGGAACGCCCCTACATGAAGGTGACCTTCTGTCACAACAAGTTCCCTGTCGTTGCTTTTGTATGATTAGCACTAGTATTTATTTTTTCTTTTTTAAAAATCATTTCTGCATGAAGTTGCACTCATGTCTGGATTTAGGTACTGTACCATGCAATGCCAGCTCTTTGTGGGCCTGTGATAACAGCTGGGGTGTCAGAAGTGTCCTGCCTCAGAATTCATGCTGAGTGTGTTTACTTGCACAACCATATTCTGAACTTTTGTAAAGACATTTTGTAAAAGCAGACTGCTCCGGGTGTGGCCGTCGCCGTGAGTGTGCCACGAAACCGGCGGAGACTCCAGGAAGTCACTGCACCCTGCCAAGAAATAGTCTAGCACATAATCCCTGTAACAAAAAAACACAACTTGTCAGCTTTAGAGGTGCTGGTTGGGCAGAGCCAGGCTAGGTTTGCCCCTGTTTTACGGCTTTATGCAAAGCTAACTGTCTCCATCAAAAACATTTGATTATTGTATTGTAATTTAATTGTTAGTTGAAGCTCTCGCCAGGAGACCAAACACTTCCTGCTGTTTGCATAATATCAGTTGGGTTTCCATGGTAATATTCTTCCTATTAATGTGTGCAGGGCTATCTGTGATTATGGTATAAAGATGTACATAAACAGCTTATAAACCAGGCATAATAGCTGGTATCCAGAATACTGCGTGCATGTAAACACACTCACTGAGTCACATACTGTACTGCTGCTACTGTGCTCTCAGTGAGCCACCCTTGCAAATAAGAGGGCTGTGTGATTAAGAGAAACTAAGGGGCTACTACAAACACAATAATGAGCTGAGTCTTGTTGTTTCCTCCCCATTAAAACTTAACTGAACACGCCTGACTAGCTGGTAGCCTCAGTATTTATTGTTTCAAGTGTAGGGAAGCACCTCAGGATGTTTAAATAGTAATGAACTGGCCACTGAGTTTTAGTTGTGAGTTACAAAATGAGATCTTATACAGTGTGTGAGGATGTAAGGTTGTAATAAGCAAGTAGGAAATGCTTTGATAGCTTTATTGAGTTAATAAAGGAATATTGAAAATGTTTATGTGCAATGAAGATAGGTGCTCAGGGACTGCAGAGCTACTCTAAGTGAAATATGGTGGTATTGTATTTTAACTGCTAGACGTCATTGACCACAGACCGAAAGGTTAAAGGGCAATGATTATTAAAAATGGAGGGTTTCAGTCCAAAATGTACACTGTTATTTATAATTAATATTATGCCTTCGACTTTCTTGTGATCCCTGTCGTAAGATTGTGTTGATATTTCCTAACATTTCTTTCTGTCGCGCTGTCTCCTTTTGGAATGAAACTCTTTAAATGTGTAGAGGAAAACAACAGTAAGTGACTAAATGCTGGATAAAGAATGTGGATCATTAGAAAGAGAGATGTTTTTCTGAAGTGCTATTTGGTGAAACATGTAGTTTGTCTGTGTGTGAATTTGTGTCTTTCACGGAAAAGCAATGCTATCACAGAGATAACTGTCAACCAGAGAGGATGTTTATTGTGAGTCGGACAGCGATCAGGTCTAAGTCACCTTTACGTTTATGTCTTCTGGTTCAATGTTTTGGGGGTTTTTTTAATCCATTTTATCCATTCATCTCAAATGAAAATGAGCAATGTTTGCTTTTTAGTAAATGCAACGTGATAAAGACTGGGAGCAGTTTTAGAGTAACATGTTTAGTTCTCAAAGAAAGTTGTGCAGAAAATCTGAAAAGCTTGTTCTGAGATTTGTACAGTAAGTCTATCCTGTAAGCATAAGGTTTCAACAACCTGTTACACTGTGTCAAGAAAAAGGACAAAAAGAGGCTCCTCTGTTATCAACGTTCCAAATGTGATGTTTTTATTCACTGCCCTGTTCTGCTCTATGTTATCATTATTGTTATTATTCTGGTTTACAGTCAGTATTAGTGGATCATTGTCAATGTAATGAGTTTGTCAAAACACAAATTCACATGCACACTCACTTGCGCCCAAATATAAATTCATATGAAGACTGTATGAGTACAATAATTTAAAATACTGTGATCACTGCTGTCACAAAGTTTAGTTTATTCAGCAGAAAAGGTCCAGAAATTATTAAAATGAAGAGGTAAAAATTTAAACTGTCCTACCCATTCTGGTCATGCATTGGAATTCAATGGTTAGCTTATTTTGTTGTTCTTTCAGTTTGTGCCTGTAGCTGTTCTGTAAAGTGCTGTATAAAGT